TTACGTATTTAGACGTACGATTTTTCTCGAGCCGAGGGAGAAAGAAATGGAGAAAGAAAACTTTGCCTCCTCCATTAATTTCGATCAACGCGATCGATATCGGTTAATTACCCAGCCCCCGGTTAGTAAAGAGCCGTTAGTAGCATCGCGTCGTAGCCTCATTAATCTTGAGTTTGCGGCAAGCGGCGTATACCCCGCGCTTTTTCGACCTTCTTGTCCAGAACGGTGAATGGGAAAGCACGTTTTCCCCATCTCCACCCTCTTCCCCCCCTCCCCCTCCATCCCGAGGACGGAGAGAGAGAGGGAGAGAGAGAGAGGTTGACGAGCTCGCACGAAGATTATCGAGCTTGCACGAAGCGGGGGTGTCGGAAAAGTGGGGTGCGTGGGTGGAGAGAGGGAGAGAGGGGGTGAGTTTGGAGGGCGCAGGTTGGAAGGAGAATGGTATCCGTGCGCGAAAGCTCATTGGCAGCATCCAGTGTCATCGCGGACCTCGGGACGCACGCTTCGTTCGTTCCTCTCGCGAGGGGAGAAAACGCTTTTTTCTTTCCTTTCCCCCGCGCGTCACATCTCCCTTCGATATTCGATTCTACCGGCGGGGTAGAAATACGACGACGCGTATCCCAAGGCCAATGTTTCCCAAACTCGACCACCGACGCATCGATACACCGTTGCATCGACAACTTGACGATCGTGATCGACGAGGCTACGACCATGCATCTCCTTTTCCGGATGAAACTTTGCTATAGTTAGTTTTTCTTTTTTCCCTTCTCCCCTTCCTCTTCATTCTTTCTCTCCTTTCTTTCTTTCTCTCCCTTCCTTTCCTCTTCCTTTCTTTCTTCTTCTTTCTCTCTTTTCGTTCGTTCGAATTCGAACCCGAGCGAGTGGACGAATGGACAAGATGAGATAAAATAAGATAAGATAAGAAAACGCGCGGCGATGTCGCGCGATCGGCATTGTTGACGAGACGTTGTTGATGAAGGAGGTGGGGAAAAAAATTGAGATTCATCGATCGAGGGATCGATGGAAGTAGTGCGCGAGAACGGGAGAGGAACTCGAGAAAAAAAGGTGTTGCGAAACAGAGGTGTCGTCGACGGTAATAGTAATAATAGTTCGAAGGAGTGATTGAGGATAAAACGAGCGAGAGAGAGAGAGAGAGAGAGAGAGAGAGAAAGGGAGGATTTTCCATCCTTTTCGATGATAGGAGGAGATAGCGGCACGTGTTCGCAGCGCACTTTGGCCAGGACTTGAATACACACGCCCTGGGAGAATTTCTCGAAAGGCGATGTTGTGAAAAGTGTGCAAACAAGTCGTGTGCCACGCTTGGAATATACATATACACATATATATATATATATCATATATACGTGCATACGCACGAACGTATATATCGCGGCCGTTCGTGGAAGTCGGAAGTCGAAGGAATTACCATCACTGTGACCCTCTGGTAAGCTTCACGTTTACTTCTCCTTCCCCCTTTTCCCTCCCCTCTCCTTTCGAAACGAATTTTCCGAGGCCGGTGCTGCTCTATAATTTCCCGTCGGCCGAAACGACGGTGTACGGCGACGGTTTAATCGGCTATAAATTTGCCCGCGGTCCCATACCTTGTATTACAAATTCCATTCCCCCGACAATACAATGCGGCTCGAGAACTCGTGTAGCAAAATCGACGTGGTAAACGGCTGATGATCGGCTCGAATGTGTATTATGTAGTTGCGGATAGGTAGGCAAAAAACTCATCGCTTCGGTCGCGCGCATTTTATTGCCATCTCGAGTCGACGTTGCCAATGCTACGAAGTCGCCGATTCGTCGGTGGATGGAGAGAAAGAGAGAGAGAAAAAATTATACGCGAAGCGTCACAATCATCGTGCCACTTGTTCGTCGAATCGCTCGAATATCCCGTACGTTCCTCCATCCATCGTACACCCGTGAAAATAGCGTCGCGTTCTCCGCGGTACAAACACATAGGTACCGAGTTCGCGTCACCGTTTTTTACGCTTCGAACTCGTAAACGCTCGCCTCTCGTCTTTCTTCTCCCTTCCTCTATCCCTCTCCTCCCCTTCCATTCGTCAATCCTTACATCGCCGCCACCGGAATTAAAACTAATTTCTCTCTTGTTCTCGAAGTAGAAGTCAAAGTCCAAGCTTCCTCTTGCAAACTTTGGAAAGCGTCGGGGTATAAAAATATTAATAAAGCAAAGTTTGCCGAATATAATACGCCGTTCGCACTACGTGGCGAGTATCGCGGACTATGCCGGAACGGGAGTGGAAAATTGCGAGAGGGGAAGGGAGAAGGAGGGAAGAAGTTTAACTTTTAAAAGGAAGAGGTAGGAGGGGAATGGCTTTACGGTGGCAAACTTGGGGAATGGAGTGCGCTTGATGAACGAAAGTACAAGTAACTGCCTATTCCAAACTTGCGAAATATGCCGCGTTTCCGGCTCGCCTCGTGGAGACCTTCCCAACGAACTCGAAAGAAAAAGCTTGCGAGCGAATCGAGCGTGAACATGCACTCGAATCGAGCAAATTAAATCCTCTCCGTTATTAATTTACAACAACCGGCAACGTACGTGTCGGATCCTCAGCCCGATAAGGAACAACACTGGCCGTTTCCCCAATTATCTCCGTGGAATCGGTTTCCCAAAACACACGTTTCTAACAAGGTTTCGTACAGGGGGAGAGGGAGAGGGCCGTCGTTCTTTCGTCGATTCTTTCAAACGTTTCTTTCGATTTCCTTTCTCCCGGTTTTCGCGAGGAAATTTTCTCGGGAAATTGAACACACTTTTTATCGGGGAACCAAGCGAATCAGTTCAGAAACGAAAGACTCTCCTCCCCTTTCGCCTCGAAATTTTCCAAACGCGATCCAAGATAAACTCGTTAAACTCTCTAAACCGATACGTTTCTTTTCCCCCGGCTCGAGGAAATTAGGTTTGTCTTAAAAATCGTCGAAAGTGCTGATCTTTCGTCCGACGATTGTTGCTTTTGAAAAACCCCTTTCTCCCCCCTCCCCCCGTCTTTTTCCCTGATATCCGTTTAAACAGCCACGATTGTCGAGGAAAAGA